GAGAGAGCACAAGCAGGGGAAGGGCAGAGAGAGAGGGGGACAGAAGATCAGAAGAGGACTCTGTGCTGACAGCAATGAGCCCAATGTGGGACTCGAACTCATGAACCATGAGATCATGACTTGAACCAGAGGTGGATGCTCAATGGACTGAGCCATGCAGGTGCTCCATGGGGGTATATATCTGTAAAAATTCACTGGGCTGTCCACTTAGGATTTTTATGTTTTGCTGTATGTATGTCGTATTTTAATGAAAAAAAAATGAAGGGGAAAGGGTCTGGAAAGACACTGGGGATCGGATTTGGAAAAATATGTGAGTAGAAATACCAAGAATTCCCAAACCCAGGAGAAAAGCGGTCTCTGCTATTTTGTGTGTCATACCTCACAGTTTACAGGTAAAGCCCCAGGCCTGGGAAGAGCCTTACACAGCATGTAAGGCTCAGAGAAGGAGAGGGATGCCAGTGGTGGAGAGGACAGCAATGTAGTTTTCATGGCTTACAGCCAGGGCTCCTTCTTTCTCTTGCTGCCGCTACTTCACCCCTCTCGGCGTTCTCTGTGGCCCCTTTCTCGTGGAGTCCAAGCAGGGCACCGCTACCTGGTGAGGTTCCTATTGCTGGAGGTAAGACACGACTCCACCATGGCTGCTAAATGCCATGCTCTACTAGTGCACTCCACCACTACACTTGCTTTAACACACGGACCCTGCCCATAGAACCTTCATCTGTTTGCACTTGTCTGCATACTACACCTGCACAGGAGCAATGTCTTCTGCTCTGGTATTTGTGGATTGCCCATCCCTCCCTTGTAAAAGATTTTTTGGAAGTTGGGGATGGGGAAAGAATGTCCTGGGATTTAAATGTAACTAATTTATCCTTTCATTAGATAGAATTTCTGGGGTCACCCCTGTTCGTTAAAAATAGAGCAGACACTGTCCTGTTTGTTGCAGACTGCAGGCCAGGTAAGCCGTGGCTCCTGCAGAGATGCGGACACTGAGCAGCAGTGGGTGGCAACTCGGAGCTCTGCAGTTCTCATGAATGGAGGAGGCTGCCTCTCAGAGCATCCACTCGGATCCTTTAGATGCCCGAGGGCTTCACCTCTGCTGGTCAGGAGCAGACCGTGGTTGGCTAACAGCACCAGTGATCTGGATGTGCCTTAACTCAGAAGAGCCGGTGCCTGGCTGCTAAGAGAGGGAAAAAGGCCCTGGCAAGTCTGCTCTGCGTGGTTCCCATGCATCAGCAATACCTGCTGGTCCAGTGGGAACTCCTCCAGCCCCAGTTTTGAGAAAACTCAGAAAGAAGAAATTAGGGTTAAAAAAAAAAAAAAAGAAAAGAAAAAGGACATTCCTAAGAAGCATTTGGCACAATTACAAATGGCATACTAAGTTGGCAAAATGCTTTACAATTATTTTCTAGATAACTTCACATACATCTCAGCAGGAGAAGTTCAGCACAGACAAGAACAAGTTCTTATGCACTGGACAAAATTAGTTCAATTACTCATGCGCACTTCAGGGTGCTTAATTAATTATAACAGCAAGAGAATCAAAGACCAAGACAGGTCTGCCCTGTCTGGTCAATAACTGGTCCAGAAACATATGCAGAAAACAACACATCAGAGGAGGCTTAAATATAAGAAACCTCTAAAATAAGGAATATCATCCTTTATATAAGAAAGATGTCACTAAATATATTTATATATCTATCAACAAGGAAGACACCAAATCCTTGTTGTACAGCACACTGAGCTTATGACACTCATGCCACCAGAGGTGGCAGAAGTGGGAGCACTCTCTTGTTTCACACTGAGGGAACAAAGATGGTATGATGTTAAGTGTCAGAGCAAGGTCTACACTGCAGGCCACCTGCTCCCGGGTCACCCCCCAGTGAGTGGAGCCTACACTTCCCGATGATGAAATCCACCTACTCACTGGGACAAGGTCCCCGCACACATCTGTAAGATGCCCATGTAGGTATAAATCAGAGAAGGACAGACAGAATACTTTACTGGGTATTAAGAGTTTAGCAAAATGCCCAATTTTTCAACTTACTGGGTATTCAAAAAATAATTTTTATCCCTATTCTTGGCCTGAAAAAGAAATGACGGTTGGATTTAATCAGTGGTTTAAAAATCATTGTTAGGCATAGAACCCCAACTAGATAGTGAACCAGATTAAAGCGGGGCTACCCTGGCTGTGCAGGCCTGTTGCTCTGCCTACTTAGACTTCCTTTTGTCCTTTATCTGAAACAAAGGATTAAAATCGTGGAATTATATACATTCCAAAGCCATCAACTCTATATTTTGCAAGTCTGATTTAGGACCTCTCAACTACTATCTGAGTGAGCTGGAATTCTTATTTCTGTATCAGTACAGGCTATGTTAGCAACAGAAAGGGCTTTCTGGAAGACACTGGTAATTAGCAGCAGCTTAAGGAGAATCTCCTATGAGCTAAAGGAAAAAAAATCACAAAAAGGTGGGAAAGATAAGAATTCAGCCCATAAAAGCAGATTTTACAAATCAAAGTGTGAACTGCCTGATGTGATATATAGGCCATGGGGTGAGTGGCCCAATGGAAAGACAGTGGATGTGCAGACATTGAGGACGTGAGTGTGTGTGACGTGGGGCTCTTGCTGCTGGAGAGCACACAGCTCACTGTGCGAGCCAGGTACTAGATGGAGCATGCTGGTCCCATTCTTCCCTGTCCTGAGGTCCCCAGTTCTTGATTCGAAATAACGGACTTCTCATCTGTGAATTCCAGCTAGACTGAATGAAAGTGTCCTTTGGGCAGGGGTCACTTCCCCATTCTTCTGTGTTTCTTTGCCTTCTCCTCCACACTCTACCTCAGCAACCCTCCTCAGCAGAGTGCTTGATAGGGTCAGAAATTCTGGTGAAACACTGACCTGCAGAGGCATGGAATGTGCTAGATGCTGTCAATGAGAATTACATGAAGCAGGCATGGGGGGCTCTGTTTTTAATTCGACCAAGGATTACTTTGGTAAATGATTCACTTTTTCCTAAGCCTCAGTTTTAGAATGTATGCAAAAGCACTCTGTTCCCTATAAAGTATACAGGTGTTCACCACTATTATCATCATCCACCTTAGAAGATGAGCAAACTCCTTTCCATCTTGAAAATGGCCGTCAGGCTTTCACCAGCACCATTTTCTAATCGACATTTATGGGAAAAAACGTGGAGGGTCATAAACTGCTCATTTGTGCTTGAAGAGGTTAATCACTCAGACGGCAGCTTAGCTGATGGTGTCAATAACAAGTGATATCGGCCTAAGATGTTTCCTTATCCCATGTCCTAGAGCTTTCCTCACCAGCTGACCACCAAGCCCAGTGGGGTCTGCCACAGCCTGGTCTTTGGGGGAGGGACCTGACTGGTGCTTCAGCACACCTGGCTGACCGCCTCCACACCAACAACTCTGTCGCCATCCCCCCCACTCCCTGGCACTCAGAGGATGTGCAAGGGGGAGAAACATGCTCTTAGCCACTGGCCCCAGGTGCTCCTAGGCCAGTGTGGCAAAGCTTTCTTCGCAGCAGGTGTTACACTCTATTTCTGTAGAGGCCAGCAGCAATTGTCTTTTTGTTTAGAGGGTTGTCAAGTGTGAGCCTGGGGATTCAGCTGAGGACTGGTGGCAGGTCCCAAATAAGGACAAATATGAACGTGAAGCAATTTCCTTTAGGAAGAAAAAAGAGGCCAATTAGGCTCACAAAGGAGGTTTGGCCTGTGCCTTTTCTAGCAACTGCTGGAAGAAGGATGTAAGTCTTGCTGTGTTCAGTGGGCAGCTTCTTGATTTCTGCTCAGTGCAAGCCAACTAAATGCATCAGTCTGGGAAAGCAGCAGCAGAGAGCATTGAGAGCCAAGTACAGAGAGTCACAGGCTCCCTCTGAAATCTCTAGCAGATTTCACAAACCCTAGGAGGCAGAATGACACTCCCCAAGTTCCAGTCATGTTAATAGTCCAGAAAGAACTCTCTGAAACTGCTCCAGAGGCCAGTGGCTCAGAACAAATTGGAAGGGTAACCTGTGGGTAGCAATGCATTTGTCTTCAGCAGAGCCAGGCTGGCCAAGTTGGTGAGCACTCAAGGAGAACTCCAACAGGGCCAACAGAGAGCTCGGCTTTCCCCTCTCCTGAACCCCACAGTGGCACTGGCCTCCCAGCTTTCCTTCTGGCTGGGCAGCTAAGTGCCCCTTTCACCTGGCCCTAGTTCTACAGGACAGCTTCTCTGCCTCAGTACCTGGAGGTCTTTGTCGTGGCCTTGCCTCTCCAGGATCAGCACCCGGTCCTGTAGCTCCTCCACAGTCCCCTGGAGCAGGTCGTTTTCCTCTAAGGTGGCACTGAGACGATGCTCTAGCTCCCGTTTCCGATCCGACAGCATTTTGATCTGAAAGGGTGGAGAGTCACAGGGTGGTGTGCAGTTACACCCAGGCTGATGAGTAGGAAGGGAGGAACTAGCCCCAAACATGAAGGCCTATGTCTCTCCAAGTGCTCTGCCCAGGGGCCTGGTGCCCCCATCTTTGAGAGAACAGCTGTGAACTCCCAAGATGAAGAGAAAACCCCTCCCTTCTAGAAACGTGTCTGGGAAGGGGTGGGAGATGAACTCTGGGGAAGCTGGAATGTGGGATGCCAGGAAGAGGAAGGGAAGGGTCAGTGTTCTGGAAATTCCACAGATAAGACAGAGAAGGGCTCCACCTTGCCTGCCCATGACTTTACCTCAACCCCACAATTTCTGGGGGAGTGGAGCCTAACCCATGGTTCCATTCTTCCTTCTCAAGTCATAAGCACAAGAAAATGCCCGAGACAGCCCAGTGAGCTGCTGTATTCTCATACTTCACAGCTCTCTTCTGTACTTCCCCCCACAGCTAACAGACCTGGCTCTAGAGGTCGCAGCTCAGACCTGGTGCCCCAAATTAATGGGGGAGTTGGTGGGGTACAGAAGGCAAAGCAGTGCCTGCATCAGTCTGTGTCCTGGGAAGGAGCAGGACACAACACAAATGAGTAATTGATTTTACTCAAAGTGTCGTTTTGCCTGAGCAAGTAAATTGTGACTAGAAGCAATTTCGCTCCTCTTATTAAACAGACTGGTATGTTTGTACACTGTGTATCTAGCCAGCCTCAAGAGATATAAATCTGCTTTCAGGAAGGTCTGTCTAGTCTCTTCAATGTCAGTAAGAAAATAAAGGATAAGAGGAAAGAGATGCCAAGTCTTCTGGACTCAAGGTGTGTAGGCTCAGTAGGTGTGCTGGGGCTCCACAAGGCCGACAATGCTTCACCCCGAGAACACTGCCGGGGCTAACGGGCTACAGAAGCCTTCCCAAGTTGTGCAGGGTCCCCTGGCTCCTCCTATTTATCAGGTCCCTGCTGGATTGATCTCTCAACCAGCTTCTTGCTCCCAACATGGTTAAGATGTTCTCGGTGCTCTCCAGTTTGGCCTGGAGAACAATCTATTAAGAGAACCAACCTCCTACCCTTTCCTGGGGAGATTTGAAAATGAATGTCTGATGCGTCTGAGGTTCTCTGAAATCCACCTTTCCTTCTGCTTTTTGTCTATTCTCTGTCTCCACACTAGAATTCTGTTCGTAGGGTACAGATCTTCCCTGGCCACCAATCAATCAGATAAGATGCTGTCCTGGGGAAATGAAGTATGTGGCCTTTGTCCAGAGAGATCAGGTATCTAGCCAAACAAAGACATACTGTCTCTCAAGTGTGCACCTGGGTAAGGGACCAAAAGGAACAGGTCCTTTTTGTGAATGGGGCCACTATTCCCCACACTGAAGCACATTACCCACATGAAGGGAATTCTTACTCTAGGTGATTTTCATTTAAATACCCTCCAACCTTTACATTTTCCTTCCATGGATAATCTTTGTTTCTCAAGTTCCAGTCAGTGAAATAATGAGGTAATACAGTTGTGATATACAATCCTGGCCCCTTAAAAAAAAAAAAAAAACTTTAGAAGTTCAGAGCTACATGAAGTAATGTACTTGGACAATTTCATAGGCTACCTTTTTAAAGTAGCAGTGGTACTGAATGAAGGCATCGATATTAGATGACAACTCCCTCACCCCACCCTATGCACTGAACTTGTGACCAAATCTGCCAGTTAACGTTCCTGGGAATGACCCTGAGTCACAAGGGTCTTGAAATAGTGAGCAGAGGCGAGAGGAAAACAGGCAACTTGAAGGAGTCAGAGCTTGGCAAAGGCGGTGGGACAGAAAGTCATGCACACAAGTGGTCACACACAGGCATGCCGAACCCCGCCGGAACAAGCTACTTACTTCAAGAACCTGCTGCTCAATACCAGTAGTATTTCCAAGGGGAAGGAGAAAGGAAGGGAATGATAGGCAGGAGAAAAGAGAAGATATTGACAGACTTTAGGAAAAACATCTTCAGGTCATTTCCAAAGCAGGGGAGCAGCCACCTGGGCTTCTCTGCGCCTGACCACACCGACGGATTCCTTAACCACAGCGGGGGTGCACATTCATCTGGCCCTAGACCCTTAGACTGTCCCCTCAAGTGTACCTTAGCCAAAGGGTTGCTGTCCAGACAACTGGCTTAGGGCCCCTCAAGATCAGACTAGGTAGATGCCGCCCTGGGGAAGAGCCCCTGTTTGGGCTGCTGATACGACTTCCCTCTTCTCCCCTCCCACAATCGGGTTCTCACAGAGTTGTCCTCTAAGTGCTACTTTTTCTTTCCCTCTGGCCTACTCAGGGCCATAGACCCTGACTGCCATGCTCTGGCCTCTCATACACTTTTAACAACATTACTTGATTCTAAGTACCACACGAGGTGCTTTCCATGTATTAACTCATCAAACACAACAGTCCTATGAAGTAGCTACTTTATGACTCTCATAGGTGAGAATTACAATAGGTCCCAATAAGGTGGACTGAACTGGACCTACATGGAATAGAGAAAGGGAAAAATCCTCTTCCCCATCCTCTATTTAGGATTGGCAAGGACGTTTGTGGACGGATTAATATGTTCAGTAAAAGCGGGTCATTTGTGATTTCAACACACTCAGCAGTGACTCTGAGCAACCTTATTCTTCCAGACAACAGGCAACCCAGTGCAACATGAATCAAGTGTTCCCCATTTAGTTTCTTACAGATACATCTCTAGAGACTTTTAAATATTTTTAGAGACTGTAGACAAAACAAAGTTTTATTTCCCAGTTCAGGGGCTCCTTATCCACCAGATCCAGTACAGCGCCTCTAACGAGAAAAGCACTTCCATCTCCAAGCAGTGCCACACAGGCGGACTCACCTCAGCCTGAAGGCTTTCAAGCCTGATGATGTGCTGGTTAGTCGAGGAGTTTTTCTCCCGAAAGTCTTCTCTGAGGGCATGGACTTGCATGGAGAGCTGTCTCTCAACTTCTGAGGCCTGCAAGCAGAAGAGACCTTCAGGGTAGATTCGGAGGCTGTGCAAAGGAAATCTGTTAAGATCTCAGCCTTTCCTTTCCCAAGCATCTCTTTACAACTTCCTACTCTAGAAGGAGTATAGGATGAAATGCAGGTCCATGTAGTCCCTAGTACCCAAACAAGACAAACATCCATGTCTACTTCCACTACGGGGGGAGTTTATCTTGGTAAAGACCACTTTGCCTGTCAGGGGAAACAGGCCTAAGAAACAGCAAGGTCTCAAATGTTAAGTACCATCATTATCACTCTGTACACAACAGAAGTTCAGCAAACATCTACTAAATAGAGAAAAAGTCTCTGTTTTACGTGAAAGAATAAGGCAGATAGATATACCTACTACCTTAGAAATTCCTTTATTTCTCTCATCCATTTCCTCAGTAAGGCCCAAGTGAATCATCTCTGTCTACATTTCTCATTTCCATTCAACATAGGCACTATTTGAAGTTCCCTGTCACATGTTAAGATTTTTT